TAGTAGAAGTTTACCGACGTTCCGGAGGTCCTTGCTGCCTTCATCTTCAGGGCGATGATGGAGGCAACAAGGATCTCTGAAACTTCGGTAAACTTCTGCCAGACTACATGGCGGAACAACCCAGAAGACAGCCATCTTAATATGTTTAATTATTTTGGTACATTGCCGAATAAGGATAATTTCGTCAGCGTTAGATTATTTCTATTACTGTCGGTGAAAGAATTCTATATAGAATATGCTTATATTCATTCACTGATATATAAGATGATAAAATTGTGGTAGAAATTTCCAACAAACGTGAATAAAAGAAAGTAGTTCTTACTTCTTTCTGAAATAAAAATATTAATGGTTCCTGCTGTGAATGGTAATGATAAAAATCCGAGTGTGGGCCGTTCCAATTTCAGGTAAATACGGAAGTTGTCATTCTTGGTCTGTAATTTGCATTAATACCTCATATTACTATAAGTGGGGCACTTTCTCAGTTCAAAGAAAAAAACTCGTCATAAATTGTTTTTATCTGTGAAGTTGGAGTATGATTTTTCAGTCATTCGTAACTAATGCAAGAATAATGTTCGCAGTGGCCTATGTCTTTTGTTTGATTCCGAGTCGTCCATAACGTTTGTTAGAACACCATTAGATAAGAATGAGAGAGGCATTCATTGTTTTTCAATAGTGGTTTACTTGTTCGGAGACTTAAAAGCTGAGATGGAAATTAAGTTACAAGGGTTTACTTACCTGTATACCTTTTAGCTTATGCATAACAGTGAATACTAGGTTGAAGTATTTTGGGTTGTCCGTATTATACATAATTAAATATTAACATTATGAAACAAAGGTCTTCCTGAGAAGCTAATAAAGGTAGACTTATTCTCCGTCTTTTATGAAGGAGACGGTTTGTTACGGCGTTTACAAGAGCCAGATTAATCCAATACACACCCTACATGAAGTCCCATGTTGTTATTATTTTCGGTCTACTTAAAATGTAACATAAATTCCTTGTAATAAATCGTTCCTGGGATCTGAATATTTTGACCAGTGTTTATCTCTCGGCCTTTCCTTGCAAATAAGGAAAAGTATGCATATTTTGGAGTAAATATTATACCCTTCCAGTCATCCATTTCCAGATCATGACGCATTATTCCAGCATATTTTACTGTATACTGTTTACCAAGAAACATAAAATTATTATATAACTTATAAATACAGTAGATTCTGGTTAAATGGACCAGCGGTTAATCGGAGCAGCCGGTTACTTGGGACAAATCTTAAAGAACAAACCTTTTTAACTCTTTACGTGGAATTTCGCATAATTGGGACAGCTGCTTAATTGGGCCAAAGTGTTCTAGTCCCGATGCGTCCCAATTAACCGGAATCCATTGTATTAACATAGTGATTCGTCAGATTGGAAGTGAGGTATATTTTATGTTTGTATTGCTGAAAATTTAGTAAATAAATCCGTTTAACAAAAATTAGTAATAGTGGTTCACGCACCAGCCGGCACGGCCTCCGCAATATGGCGTTCCATATGTTTCTGCACGGACGTCGAACATTTAGAAAACACTAATCTATTTGGTCTCTGTAATGTTAATTGCATCTACAACTTAACGAAACACGTGACAAATAACTAGAATTTACTCGTTTGTGTGTAAGAGAAAATTATTTCTGCCAAGTCACAGAAAATGTTATGCAACGGTTGCCCAAAAAAGAACATTATCGTAGTTTTAAATAGTCTGCAGTTGTCTTCAGGCACCAAAATCAGTTTTTATTTTAGCATCTGTTACGCGTCTACAATTCTTTCATTACTAGCTCACTTCTCTTGTATAGGCCGAGCGAGAAGTGCTGACACTTGCGCAAAGGACTGATTTTGGACGTATGAGATGGACCAGTCCGAAGCACGAGCTAGAGGGGTGTCGGCTTCGGTTGGCTTGTAGCTCTAGTTGTGCTTAGATCGGTGCGTCACCGCAGCTGAGGCTGTGCGACCCCCACTACTACTGAACTCCCCTCTCTCGGCTTAAACATCGCGTATTTAGGTGCCACCACTACTCGCGCGACCTATACCTACAGGGCTACACAGCGTCATAACCCAGAAGACCGCAGAAGATATGAAAATTATATACAAAATTTAAGTCTGAAAATCTGAAGAGATGAGACCGCTCTGTTGACGTAAGCGTAGGTGGGGAATTAATATTCGACAGATAGCGTGTGATGCGGCTAATGGTAATGTATTGTGAACACGTTAATGATTGAGGTGTCGCGTAAAAGGCAAAACAATTTTGACAGCTCAGCCACTGTTACCTTCTCCCTGCACCATAGAGTTTAGTTAATGGTGCCAGTAATTTCTCAGAAGAACTTGTAAATCATACTTCAGTACAAAACGCCATATCCACGCCGCGTCTGGACTCGTCCCTAGAAGGATACTTCCTCGGAAATGATGCGATCAGAATCCGATACTGACCAGAGCTTTATCTCGTCTTCCCTTACACTATTTCATAGCTTAGTGATTACGTACGAGGGGAGCTTCGCCTTTACCCTTTAATTTTTTACGTGAGTGCCGTTTGGCGTGATACAGCTATCACTGCCTCCGCCCCTGTTCCCGTCACTGTACGTGTTTAATCTGCTTTTAAGATATCTTCAGTGACTCTTCTCTTTTTTTATAAACTAAGATTTGTGTTTTTGAAAGTCACGCGGAGATGTATTCGTCCATTGCTTTGCATGTTAATATTGTATTTAGAGAAAGTATTAAAATTTAATAAACATGCAAGAACCTAAGAAATATTATGAGTAAGATTTAATGAGAGAAACCACAATTAAGTGACACAATAATCAGTCTCACAAAATTGGAAGGAGGGATTTTCATATGAAATAAAAGAGATGAATTAAATAGTTTAATAAACATAACAAAGGAAATAAAAATGAACATCAGTCAGATAAATGAAAGAAATAAAGAAATTATACTTCACTTTGAAATACGGCTGCTATCCCAGGATTTATTTCAGGACACTAAAGTGAACAAATGGAATGTTGTTTGAGTCAGGATATAAATCACCGGTCCGAGAATCAAACCCGGCTACACCCGGATTTGATGAAATGTTGAACCACACGACTCCAAAGATGTTCTAGGCTTCTTGTATTAATAGTTACTGAAGATTCAACATGGCTTCTGCCGTGTAATTACTATGACATATGCTCATAATTTAAGATGAATTACAGGATAGCGAAAGCGTGACGTCATGTATGGTGAAAGGAAGCAACAACAACAAAAAAGTATTCAGTAATAACCCAATATGGTAATTACCATTATATCTCATTGTTATGCTACTGGTTCCTTTGATGTGTGGTTTAATACAAAGAGTGAACTCCGTTGCGCAAATACAGGCTTAATTAGGCGTGGTAATCAAGAGTTGCGTAGTTTCCACGAGTTACATTGAGTGTACACACTTATTTATTTTGATTAGAACTTCTTCAATAAGCTCGAAGTACCTGCCAGGGCCCTCTGTCCGGATAATGTTAAAAATTGTGGTAAATCTAACTTTAGCTCCTAGCTGAGCAAAGATTATGGCAATAACAGGATTTCGTTTTGGCCAGGACAACTGATGAGGCAAAGTATTCGGTTCCTTGACAGATGAAGATACAGTAAAACCTCTCTAAGTTGGACACTTGGGGTTCCACGAAAATGTGTCCAACTTACAGAGGTGTCCAAGATAGAGGGAAAGA